TTTTTTTTTGGCAGCTGGCTGTTAAGGGAAGCTGAACCCTAACATTGGTGTTTAACACTGCCCTGTAACCAACTGAGCTAATCACCCAGCCTGAAAAATGCTACCTTAGATCAGGAATTTTTCACCCAGCCTATTGATAAAGTTCAGGAGGGTAACACTTATGAAATGACATAAAAGTTTGTATATATTTACATGTATGTATATTTCTGTGCATGGGGCTTCATAGCTTCTAGCAGATTGGCAAAAAGGGACAGGTTAACACTTGACAAGGTAGGACATATCGATCTTGATCCCACAAAACAGGCAGAGGACGGTATTTAGGATTTCTGCTGCTAGGTGACCCCTGTAAGTTCCCTGAAAACTATTGTGGATAAGATTGGGAAGGGTCCTAGGCCCTTCCTCCACCTGATACAAGACCCTCAAGAGCTCTCTCTGTTGGAGATAGAAGAATTTGATATTTAAGTGGGTCTTCCACATCTAGGAGTGGCAGTGCTCACATATAGTACACCCACTGCTACTGGGGTCATGATTCGGGATTTCCACACATTGTGGCAGATCCCGACAAACATCCTCAAGGCCGTATTTGTCTTCTATATAGACTAGTAGTTGTTGTAAGCCAGATTCTTCCACTTTGGTTGTTGGAAGTGAGGGCTTTGGTCAGCTGACCTGCCGGGTTTAGCAAGAAAGAAGTGGCACAGGACTTTTGCCCCTGTGGTCACTAAAATGATGATCTAGAAACAAACAAGGTTGATATCGGACCAACAGGCACCTGTGTTTCCTTACTGATTATTAAACTATTGAAATACTCTGTACCTTTGGTCAAGAACAGCTGCCCCAGTCCCACATCCTACAAGGGGTACCCCGGCTCCTCCCTGGACCCCCAGGACCTCTCTGTGACCCAGTGACCAGAAGGTTTAATACTTGGCACAACAGGGGGACTCCAGGAATCCATTCTGATTTGTTGGTAGTCTTATGCTACCAGGTGTTAAATATTTTGAATATTACCTGGACACAAATACAGCAGGTGGGGCAATGCCATTGGCTATATGTTCACTTACACTTCACAACAGTAAGGCACAAAACGGAAGACATGTGCACTGGCCTCACCTTGAAACTGATTGACCTGCTGCACTGGGTATGGATTCCGCTGTTGCTGGAGGTGCTGCCGGGGTAAATGTGACTGCTGCAACTGCTAGAATAACAGAGGACAAGAGGGGCGGAGAGGTGAGATGGGGAGAGAACATGCAATTAAATATCTTGGCAGTTCCGATGAAGGCAGGGTTTTTACCAAAAAGGAAACTTTGTGTTGAAGAATAACACTCATACAGGCAGGAGCACTGAATATAAGTGTACAGTTGGGTGGCTTTTCACAAAAGGAACACACTCTGGTAACCAGCGCCCAGATCAAGAAACAGAACATTGCCAGGAGCCCCTGGTACCTTTCCAGACACCACCCTCCCTTGGCCCAGGGCACTACTATCCCAGCCTTTAACAACATAGATTAGTCATGTCTGTTCTTGTATTTTATAGAAAAGGATTCATACAATGCTTCTATATCTGGCATCTTGCATTCACCACTATGTTTGTGAGATCCATCCATATACATGTGTACACTTGTAGCTTGTTCTTTCTCCCTGTTGAATAGTACTCCATCGTATAAATATACTACAATTTATCTACCCATTCTACAAGTGATGGTCATGTAGGGTGTTTCCAGTTTGGGGCTGTTACACATACCACTGCGATGAACATCCATCTGCATGCCTTTTGGTGAACATCTGCATGTGCTTCTGATGTGTGGACTTTCTGGCTCAAGAGAATGCGTAGTGAGGGAGGCAGTTTTGACTTGGACTTCCCAACATCAGCCTGTATGCTTTCCTTAGCACTGTGGGGACCCGGCTCCAAGGGACAAGCGACTACTTTTTAATGACCTAAATATGTGCTTTGGGCATAGGAAGATGGGATTCTCAGGGGCTATAAGAAAAGGCTAATCTTATTCCCATGAAGCCATACTGCCTGTAAAACACGTCTCTACACGTAAAATATTCAGCATTTACAGCTTTAAGGAAACCACGTGGGATTCCACATATAGCAGGAGCCAAGAGGCCTGCGATTTAGTCTTTCTTCCACTCATGGGGATTCTGCGCTGCTAGCGCAGTTACCAATACACGGCAAAGGCTATTATGATCATTATCATGCTGTATTTGCAAAGGGAAAGAAAATAAGAGTGAGGTGGGAAGAGCAGAGAGAGAGGTTTTAGTTCTAGCTCTGTTGTCAAGTAGCTGCGTGACCTTCGGGATGTCGTTTAACCGCCTTCCTACAGCAGCTGAATATTCATTGAGCACCTTTCATCTGCAAGGCTATAAAGAACATACAACAAGGTCCCTGCTCTTTAGAGTGTTCATTATAAAAATAACACACATTGACCACTTCTTAACACATGTGTTTATTTCTATTTTTTTCTTGTGTTTGTTCCTGCAACTCTATAATTTTCTTTTTCTTTTCTTTTTCTCTACAAGGCCAGCCAGCATTCTGGCAACCAAAGAAAAAACAGCCTCTACGCTGTTGACCCCACCCTGTGGTGCCTACCATAGCGCTCTGCAGAAGACCGTTGAAATCGATTGTGTAGAAAAGACACCATGCGAATCTTTTAGGCAGCAATATAAGGGCATTATTGAGAGTAAGCTGAGCATTGAAAAGCTTCTCCTCAGCCAAACTTCCCATACTGTATAAGAATTTAACTGCCCCACTTACCAGGAGGAATAAGTCCCTGGAAAGCCTGTGGTGGCTTAGGGGTGTGGCCTGCTGTGGGCAGTCCCCAGTTCCACCTTAGCTCTGCCTTTCTTTAGCCCTTTGGTCTCTCATAAATCACATACGCTCCCTGGCCTCAGTTTCCTGATTTGTAAAATGATGGGACTCCATGATCTCAAATGTTTCTTTCAGATCTAAAATTGTAAGTTCTGTCAAACCTTCGTAAATGGATGAGAGGTGACATGCTCTGTGCTCTCTGAGAATAAATGCCTGTTAAATGTTTATCCACACCTCCTTTCAACCTGCTCTGCTCTGATCTCCAACTCCACGGAGAATCATTTTAAACTTCCCAAAATATGCAGGATACCAAATCCTTCTGATTTCCCTCAAATGTCCTTTCAGGGAACCCAAGCGTTTCCAATATGCTATTTCCAAAATTAAAAATGTTACTTTCAATGCTGTTTTCAAACTTTTAATGTTGTAGACACCAAGAACATGAGCTTGGTGTTGATATGGCAATATCCACTCTCAAAACAAAGAGTTGAGAGCTTACCACTTGTGGGCCTCTAGGGCAGCCTGCATTGATAAGCACTGTCTCCAGGTGCAGGTCAGGTGCTACATTGACTTGGCTGGCACCTGTGGCTGCAGCTCTTATATGACACTCCCCGACAACTGGGTCACTTGACAGGTTCCCACATGCATTTGTGCAGAGTATACAGCTTCCAAAGAATTTTACACACATTATCTCATATGATCTTAAAACATCTACAGGAGGAAGGCTGGGCAGTTATTAAAACCTAACCTGGCAGATGAAGAGAGAGGTTAAGTGGTTTTTGCAAGATCACATCACAAGCAAAAGAACGGGCAAATTCTGATGCTGAGTAAAGCGATCTTTCCTTGGTCTCTCAGCATCTTCCAGTACACAGTTTCTAAGAAATTATGCTCAGGATGCAGTGTCCCATTCCCCCATCTTTTCCAAGGAGCCTCTCTCTGTGTCCTGGATTCTGCGTGGTCTCCCCCGTTCTCCCACCTCCTCGTCTGTGGGCATCACTTTGACGCACCTCTTCTCACACTTGTCCATCTCCCTACTTGTTCCCCAGGACCTCGCCGACCTTGCCATGTGGTGTGGGAACACCCCTGGGCTGACCCAGCTGAGTTCTGTGTCTGTGAGTCCCTGCCCCCTCTTTGTGCCTTGGTCATAGCACACATATCAAAAGCCATCCCTCATGGGCCGGCCCGGTGGTGCACTGCTGCAGTGCGCCGCTTGGGAGCGTGGCGGCGCTCCCGCCGAGGGTTCGGATCCCACATGCAGACCGGTTCCCGCTCACTGGCTGAGCGAGGGGCGGGCGCAGCGCCGAGGGTTGTGATCCCGTTGCCTGTCCCGGTCCGGTGCAGGCGCAACACTGAGGGTTGCGGTCCGTTGCCGGACACAGACAAAAAAAAAAAAAAAAAAAAAGCCATCCCTCAAAATATCAGGCACACCTGGAATTTCCTGGGATTGGCTGAGGAGAGGATTTACAAAGCCCAGCTTCTGTTAGCAGTTCCATTTATCACTGCCTGAGAGATATTAGCATGGTTCCTTGTCAGACACCTTATGCAGGGTGAGAAGGAGAGAGGTTTGTTTGTACAATAGCTGCCAGGCGGCTGACTGACCTTGGTAAAAAGGGAGATAATTACACAGCTGTTCAGGAACAAAAGCAAAAAAAGGGAACATAAGTGAACTGTGCGCAATGGTATAATTTTTCTCTTCGGGGGTGACTGGTGTTACTTGGAACTGCTGTTCTTGGTTAGTAGGGACCTCTACGTCCCTGTGTCCTACACTGTATCATATCTCATACATATGCAGTGGTGGATGCTTGGTCAATTTCCAAAATTCTGATCCTATTAGGAACATTCTAGAAGGATCACTACGAGACAGAGCTATATTGGGTCCTGAGCCTTATATGACAACCTCGCAGCTCCTATATAATAAAGAGGCTGCTGTGCGGATGCCTTGTGCAGGCCCTCGTGGGAGCCACGTAGGGATCTCTGTGGACAGCCTCAGGCCTTTCCCTGGGATAACACTAAATCAGGCCTGGGCTTCTCTAAAAACAAAACAAATTGAAACCTACAGGAGCAGTCTGCTGGGAAGGCTTTCTTTGAAAGCTGAGGAATTATATGGCAAGAGTGGACAAAGCTGCCTAAGGTACAGCTGTATTTGAGTTAGGCCTTCTTTTAACTCACAGAGTTCCTGAGCTGTTTTAAAAGCTGCCAGGAATTTTCTTAAGTTTGCCCCTTGTCCGTAACCCCAAGTTCAGGTTTCCAGGTAGTTCTGTGGGCCTTATTGTTCTGCTATTGTTCCTGGTCCATTGTTCATGACCAATTCTACAGAATTCTACTCAGTCCCTCCTCCTGCCGCTTTCCTCTAAGAAACAAAGTTCTCTGAATTGTTATTTTATTTTTTTGTTCATGCTAGAAATATTAGGGCTTATGAAGAATGTGAGCCATCTCCTTCTGTGAACTGATTATATAGACTCCTGCACCAGAAGTCAGAAGAAAAGGAGTCACGCTTGAATCGAAGAAATGTCTCTGGCAAATGGGCCTTCAAACCGATGGCTGAAGCCTGTCATTTAAGAACAAACTAATTCCTTATAGGAAAAAGCCTAACTAGTTGAAAGTACTAAATTCGTCAGGTTCTTCTGTAATCCTGGGAAATGGTAGACTGTGAGCAACTTGACAGAGGACATGAACTGCCACTCCCTCACAGACAATGAATGAATGGCACGGGGCATGTTACCTGCTCGGCCAGGATCTGCTGCTGCTGCTGCTGCTGCTGCTGCCTCTGCTCCCGCAGGAACTGCTGCTTCTGCTGTTCCATCAGCTGGGCCCGCTGATCTATGAGCATTTGCTTCATGATGGCTGCCTGGGGCTGGCTGCCCAGGAAGCCAGGACCTGCAGGACTGGCTCCAGAGACCATGCTGCCTGAGCCTGGGGGCACGGAGGACTGCATGGGGCCTGTGGTGCGGGGAAGCCCAACCGGGTGCTGTTCCTGGGAGGACAAGAAAAGAGAGAGATGCAGTAATTTCACCTAGAGACTCATCGCCATTTAGAGGGAAACCCCTGGGAAAAGGGAATGGGGCAGAGGTCCAGGCTTGTCGACCTGAGGGTGTCTGAGTGGTACACATGATATTTGCATAAAAACAACCTCAAACCTGGCTTTTTACCTCAGTGGAACTGGAGAGGCTACGAGGGGATAGTAGAGCATGGCTCTGGGAAATCTGAGACCAAGTCCAGGCTTCTTGATGGGACTGACTAACGGATGTGGAATGGGTTTTCGACCAATGTCCTGTGTTCCTTCAAGGAAAGGGAATAAGCCCTTAGGCAGGGCTCACCTTAAGTCTGGAATGTCCTGAACTTCCCTGTTAACCCTGACTCTTTACTGTCTACTTGGCCAAAATAAACATCATCTTATCAAGCGGGAGACACATTTACAGAAGATTGCTGGAATGAATTAATCAACAGGTCTGATATTTGATGGAATTCTAATTGATTTCAATATTTGAGAGCTTTGATATATGTTAAAAAAGAATCCTGCTGGTCAGAGTTATTGATGGTGAGAACTGGGAATGTTTTACACCAACCAAAGCTATGTCATTTCCTAACATCTTTAAAAATAGAATTGAGTCTCATATATCTGGGATAATTCAAATGTGTATGGGGTCGTGGGGGGCAGATTGGGTCCCTTGATTCTATAATTATTTGCCAGTCAAATTATGGCAACTTTTAAGTTCTGGTTCTTAGAGAATAGGAAGTAAAGTAGTAAAAAACTAATTCCACACAGGCCAAGTGACTACTTGGAGAATGTGCTTAGAAGAGAAGCCTGTGCTGAGCTGGATACTGTTGACTATTAAGGAAAAATAGCTGATGGAGAGGAGACATGCGGCCACAAGACTACATTTCAAGACACTTTCTTTCCTGTTCTTTTTACCAAGCACACCTGGCAATGACAAGTATTATGTGAGCATTCCACAGAAATATTCCGTCTAATTTGTTAAGTTTCAAGAAATTAATCTGAACATAGAGGAGCTGACAGAAATGAAGTGGTCACACAGATAGGGACATACACAGTGATATTGTGAGGCACTATGAGACCTAAATAATAAGAAATGAATGTGAAAAACTCTACATTTTTAAAAACTTTAATCCAAATTGGATTTTAATACTTCTTTTTGCTTTGTTACCTTTTCAATATAGATATCATCAATCATGCTGGGCTGTTTCCTCTCAAAACACATGGCTGAGTTTATCTCTGTCTGTCCTAGAGAGACAGTCCTGGACCCGACTCCCCACAGCCTGGGCTTGTGTGCTCACTTCCCCCTACTGTCTGGTGTTGAGCCATTTGTGCTTTTCTTTCAACCTGTGAGCTACCTAAACTGCATCCTCAGTTGCTCTCCTTCTCTCCCTCCATCCACCCAAACAAAACGAAATAAGCAAAATAAACAAAAAACAAAACCAAAAAACCTCCAACCCTTCTCACCCCAGAAACAATAGCTCAAGAGGTTCTGGTTAGTTAGAGCAGTAGCCTGGGTCATACGGCTAGTAAATGGAAGACCCTGAACTAGCAGAACTGGAATGCTGATTTTGATTCTCAATTCAGTGTTCCTTCCACTAGCTCAGGCCTTTCCCAGATAATGGGGTCCATGGTGCCAAGTGTGCACCTAAGAATCACCCTCAGACTAAAGAGTGTGTCTCTCATAAATGTACTGGGTTTTATATTTCATCTGTAAGTGCTGTTGCTGAAGTTCATAAAAGTTTTTGTCTTTGTGTATTTTCTCTGTAAATAGACAATTATTATGTAGAGGGTTATGAAATGTTTTTGATGTTGATAGGAGGCTCTCATACTAAAAAACACCAAGAACCTTTATGCTCTCCAAAGTTTACTTTACGACTGAGCCTGCAGAAGTCTAGATGTTTCAGGCTCTTCCTTTCCCTCTCAAATACTTGCTACGTGTTTTCTAAGCCCTTCCTTCCAATGAGATAAAGCTGTTTCTTGCCACCTTTTGAGACAAATGGCTGATTGACGTAACACTGTAACAAGTTTACACTGAAGTATAAATAGTTAGCCAATCAGCAAAAATACAGATATATGTTTTTTTTTTCCCTGTGTATTTCAGTATATTTGATACTTTCCAGTTTTGATGAGGAGAGAGTTGGAAAGAAAATGAGACTCACGGGAAAATAAAGTTTTCTTCAGCTTGATTTTTTGAGAGGGCTGGTCTGGGCTGGCCCTGCTATCTTTGTGCACTTTGAGATATTCTTGTCCCCTGTGACCAGCCCTGTGCAGTTAGGGAGTGCGCCCAGAAATGGTAAATACCGGAGAAGTGTTGCTTTCCCAGCCTTTTCTCTACCGGGGAAAGAAAGGGAGAGGCAAATGGGATGATGATGTTGATACATCGAACCAGTTTTTGCCCATCTTCCTAGGGCAAAAAGAAATATTTCAAAAGCACAGTGTGGAAAAAACCTTCCCAGAGGGATAGTCAGGTTATTACTTCTCAGGATTATATATTTCCCCAAATGATGCTCTCCCAAAGGTTTTGCCTTCAGGTTTCTCACTGAAGACCTGAAGACCTACAGGCAGGAGGGGCTATGAGCATTCTTGGAGGGTTGCCTTCCTTATGAAACATCTTTAGGGCTTTCCCAACCAGCTCTGCTGCATTCAACAGTGGGTGAGAAACACCAACAGCCCCAGCCTCAGGCGTGTACTCCAAAGTGTGACGATGCACCAAGTGACTGACCTTACAAATGAAGCTGGCTGTGGCCACTAACTGTTCCGTATTACATGGCTTCTGTTAACCTCCAGTCTAAGAGGGCTTAATGAGAAATAGTCTGTCAAATTTCAGGATTTTAAGCCACCACTCTTGTTTCTAAGGAGGACACACACTGTGTTGTGCAATTAGAGAAAACCCGGGATGAGCTTTCGTCATGCGAAATGTAATGCCTGGAAGCCAAACGATGCAGTATTTTTAGTTTTAATTAGTGGCTTGTTCTCCACTCCACTGTCCCTGCCCAAAGACCTCCCTTGCTTTCCACCAAGAATCTTAATACAGTCTCTTCCCCTCAGAAATCCAATCGGCTACACAGATCTTCATTACTCTCCAAACCCTCTCACTCTTTAGTAAAATAAGGGGATAAAATAAATCAAAACCAATGAACCTATTTTACATATCTTCCCCCTCCAGGGAAAAGATCTTTGGCAATTTTCTAAAGGACAGAGTGAGGTGGAAGGTGTAAAAAACACCCTTACCTCACCCAAAGAGGCAGTTTTCCACTTCAAAATACAGCTGTGGTAAAAATAATCTCCCAAGAACAGCCAGCTGTTTATTTATAAATCTGTGCGTGGGGAAGCTTTATTTCTCTGAAGTGTTTTCGCCCCAGCCTCAAGCGTGTACTCCAAAGTGTGACGATGCACCGAGTGACCTTACAAATGAAGCTGGCTGTGGCCACTAACTGTTCCGTATTACATGGCTTCTGTTAACCTCCAGTCTAAGAGGGCTTAATGAGAAATAGTCTGTCAAATTTCAGGATTTTAAGCCACCACTCTTGTTTCTAAGGAGGACACACACTGTGTTGTCCTTTCGTCATGCGAAATGTAATGCCTGGAAGCCAAACGATGCAGTATTTTTAGTTTTAATCCTTTCGTCATGCGAAATGTAATGCCTGGAAGCCAAACGATGCAGTATTTTTAGTTTTAATTAGTGGCTTGTTCTCCACTTCACTGTCCCTGCCCAAAGACCTCCCTTGCTTTCCACCAAGAATCTTAATACAGTCTCTTCCCCTCAGAAATCCAATCGGCTACACAGATCTTCATTACTCTCCAAACCCTCTCACTCTTTAGTAAAATAAGGGGATAAAATAAATCAAAACCAATGAACCTATTTTACATATCTTCCCCCTCCAGGGAAAAGATCTTTGGCAATTTTCTAAAGGACAGAGTGCGGTGGAAGGTGTAAAAAACACCCTTACCTCCCCCAAAGAGGCAGTTTTCCACTTCAAAACACAGCTGTGGTAAAAATAATCTCCCAAGACAGCCAGCTGTTTATTTATAAATCTGTGCGTGGGGAAGCTTTATTTCTCTGAAGTGTTTTCACGAACATGCATCGTGTTTGGGCGAGAGGGGCCGGCGTTGCTGGCGGCGAGCCAAAGACTGCGGGCTCCCTGGAAGGAGGACCACAAAAGCTGTCCTGCCGGCGGCGATGACACTGGGTGACGGGGACTTGCGGGTGCCCAGGGCTTCAGCCCTTCTCAGGCGGTCGTCGTCGGGGATCAAGGCGCAGCTGCTGTTCTCTCGGTGGCCCAGCAGATGGTGGTGTCAGCCCGGTCCTCCGGCGCCAGCCCGCCCGCCGGACCGCGCCCCCGCCCCGTGCAGATGGCTTAATCAGGACGCTGTCCCTCCCCCTCCGCCGCCCGCCCCGCGCGTCTGGGCCGGGGCTGCGAACGTGGAGCCAGGCAGTCAAGTGTTCCTGCGTACAGCAGGTAGCCTGGCAACGGAGAGCATAATACCGAGCAGATGGTGTTCGCACGGCGTGATGGACATCACACACGACAGCCTGAGACAATCCAGGAATTCCCTGGTGGCCCGAGGCCCTCTTTACGCAGAATGAGCTCCCTCTCCATCGCCGTGCATCTCTGGGGTGATCGCCCCCTCTCTCCGACTGACACCGGACTGGTTTCTTATGACCGACTTTTCCTCCAGCCCGAGGGGAGGGAGCTGTCAGGTGGGGGAGGGCGCGGGAAGAGGACGTGGAAGGAAACGGAAGGGCCGGGAGCGGAGGACGTGGTGGGGACGGTGGCGTAAACCAGGTCCGGGGGCGGGCGGTCCGGGAGGGACAGGGGTCCCCGTAGCCCGGGCTGCACCAAGCCGGCGCGGGAGGGGGCCCCGGCAAGGACCCTCGGCTCAGAATCTCAGCGATCGCGTGGCCACGGACGCCTACGGGAAATTTAGGATTTTACTTAAAAAGTCCCCCGGGGCGTAATTTAGCCTCTCGACTC